CGTTCGATGAACAGATACTTCCTAAAGATTTGCACGGCAGATCCCAAAGTGCCCACCCTTCTTTGGAGTCAACCCCAATACATAGTGCGTTTGCCAAATCCTGCACAAGTAGGTCACTTTGAAATCGAAATAAAGCAGGAAGAGCATCGTTCAAGTAAACCAGATCATACTGAGCTCAAAACCATATCTGTTGAATGAGAAAAGCTGTCTTCTTGAGCCGGTCTCAAACGACTCTCTAGCCATTCTCCATTTCTCCACTCAAGATTCAACACAACCGAACCATCATGATGATTGTATGAACAGTCTCTACACCCACCCCATCACATTAGTACCTTGAAGCACCTCATCTAAGTATGCTGAAGCAAGTATGCATCGAAACACAGTGTTCTCCTCTGATTCAGATACGGTCACATCAAGGCAGTCATTGACCTGAGTCTGTGTAAGTGGCAAGCGCAGCTACATTTACCCAACGGTCGGAAGAGACAACGTCAGTCACAGTTCAGAGATGGCAAACATACGAAAGTCGGTTCAATACTGTACTGAATAGCAATACAGCGATACTTGACATGGAGTGATATTCAAGGGCCGCTCGGTACGAAGGGCGTGCTATCGGACGAGTTCTTGATCTTTTTGTGCTCGGGGAACTTGTCCATCATCATCTTGAACAGTCTCAAATCATCTCGAGCATCCTTGGCAGACGTCTTGATTTCTTTGCCATGAACCACAGTCTCATACCACGCTTTCAACTCTGCAGTGTAGGCATCCTCGTACGAAGTTTGGAGAGACCTGTGGGACTTTTCCCCGTGCTCGTTCAGCTCGTCAATCTCCACCGTGATGCCGAGGCCCTTGACGAACGGCGTATCATAGCAAATCGTGACAGTTTTCTTCTCCCCGTAGACGGCAACATGAGAGTCGAATCTCGGCACAGAGTCAATGCCCATCTCATAAACACACGTGAACCTGTCGTCGGGGGCGGTGCCGTTTCGGTACTCGAACATGGCCGTGTACCACCGCGCGTTATCCGTCGAAGCGAGAACCGATTCTGGAAGACCGCCTAGCACGTTCCTCATGAGGCTGAGACCGTGACTTCCGAGGCTGCCGAGGAGACAGCAGTAGTCCATCTGCGCGGCGGTGAGCGATTCCGGCTCTTGTCCCCAGGCTTGGCCTAGCAAGACGGCCAGTCGCGCCTTTCTGTCCTCCGACACCTCGGTCGGTATGTCATCATTGTACTTTTGTGAGTATGCTCCCGATTGCCCGATGAAGTACGCATTGGGGCCGATGATGTCGCGGACACGAGCGTACTTGATCTTGTCAATGGAGGCAATCTCGCGTTTGAAGGCTAGGAGGCTGGGGGCGTAACGCCGCATGTAGCCCAAAAAGACGCGGGCATTGTTGGGAGCCTTGGTCTCGGCGTCGATTATCTCGTCGGCGGCTTGTAGACTCAGTGTCATGGGCTTCTCGAGCAAGACGTTTTTCCCGGCCTTTAATGCAGCAATAGTATAGGGGGCATGGTACTCGTCAGATGTTAGGATGACGACGACATCAATGGCCGGGTCATTGAAGATGTCGTCTGGGTTTGTGGTTGCGTGGGGGATGTTGAATTTGGCACGACAGTGATCGGCTGTCTTGCGTGAAATGTCGCAAACGGTTACGACCTTGAAGAGATCAGACAGAAACATAAAGGTTGGAAGGTGAACGATTTGTGCAACGTCACCACCGCCAACTACGCCGACTTGCAGGATCTTGGGAGACATGGTGAGAGGAGTTTCACTTATTGCAGCGATAGACAGTGGTGCAGTGACAGATTCATGCGTGAAGCTGGAGGATACGGGCAAGGTAGTTTGAGTACAACTTGGAGCATCAAGCTGCATATCGACCTTTATATATGGCTGTGTGTAAGCTCCGGACACGTATTGTTCGCTAACCCAAAATCGCCGGACCGGACCGACCGGTGAGGCATGGCGTTGCCCGTGATGCACCCGAGCAACCTGCATCCTCTCCGCATCCCCTCATTTAGTCTCCCCGCACCGTACTAGCTGTATTTGGTTTTCCGACCTATCTTGCTTTTGTCAAGGCGGACTGCTCTTTTTGGCAAAGAATCATCAGATGTTTCTGCTCATCAAGTGCATTACGGAAACTATGACACGATACGGAGATTCTACCCCCAAACCTCTCAGCTCTTGAGCCCCTGCTTGCTGCTTGCTGTGACCACTCAAAAAGGAGCACGCTGCCATATCTCAGTCACGGACATCATATCAGGCGACATTTTGAACTGCGAATCCACAGTCAGACTTTGGCAGAAGTTGAGACTCAACGTCAACCATGTCTCATCACTGGTTACTTTTCTGATCTAAAGGTATAGACTCCTTTGATGATTCTGCCAATCTCCGGGGGAGATCTGCTCATCTAACCAGCACGCCCTGCCTTGTCTCTTGCGCATCGCGCAGTATCGACAGCTATGATCCGTCTGAGGAAGTGAGGTTGGAGGGATATGTTTCTGGTGGGATGACTGGTTTGAACTTCAGGTTGGACTTCCAAGTGGTCATAACTCATCTATTCTCCCTCTACGCCGTGTCAGCTTCTTTTAACAGACGTGACAGGTTGGGGGCATGCCGTCATACCTAGTCAGCCTCTCCAAGGCGAGGCGTCTGCACTTGTATCATTGTCACGATACTCAGAAAGTTTTAAGAATAGAGGTCATTGCAAAGGTGTCCATCCGAGAGGAGTTTATTGGTAGGTTCCTCTATATAAGAACATAACTATTGATGTTTCCCTTCCAAAACCGCAATCAAAGTCACCTTAGATTACAACGCAAAAGAAATCCGCTTGAAAGCCTCAGCAAACACCTCATCACCACCATCCTCCCTTCCACGGACCCTCCAAGCGATGAACCCATCAGGCCTCACCAACACAGCTCCCTCCTTCCCAACCCCAAACGTTTCCTCGAAGCTCTCACCCTCCCTCTCATCAACCTCGACGACATCCTCACCAACATGAACAAACTCACACCCAGCACCAACAGCAGCCGTCTTCCACCTTCCATCCCTCGAGAGTAAAACCCACTCACGCCCAAACAACTCCAAACTCGAAATCTCTTGCCCATCCCTCTTCCTAACCACCAAATGAGGCGCCCTCGTCCCGGGCTGACCCTTCCACTCATCAGGCTTCAACGCATCAGGCAACACCTCACCGTCCGTCCCCAAATCCACCCCCCTAGACCGATAAATCTGCCCCAACTCCATAGCAACATCATCAATCACCTCGACCTTCTTTCCCTTCCCCCCGTCACCCCGGATATACGCCTTGTAATCATCCCTCGCAAAGAGCTGATCATGCCTCACAAGCGCAACAGGCCTCCTCTCCTCATCGTACGTCCCCAGAATCCCCTCGTCCGCCACCCCGCTCCTAACAGCAGCAATCTTCCACGCCAGATTGTGCGCGTCCGCGAACCCCGTGTTGGCGCCGTACCCGCCCCGGTTAGGCGGCAGCGTATGCGCCGCGTCGCCCGCGAGAAACACCCGTCCCTCTGCAAACTTCTCCGCGATCCGCGCGCTCATCTCCCAGAGCCCAATCGTCACGAGCTCGATGTCCCCGTCCTGGATCTCGTCCTTGCCGAGACCGAGGGCTTTGCGGATGAGGTCCTTTTGCGCGCGGGCGTCCATCTTGTTGCTGTGCCCGACGTTGATCGTGTCCTTGCCGTCGGCCTCCTTGTCGGTGATGGTCTCCTCGGCGGCATTCCACATCAACGCCCACCTCCCGTCGTGATAACTCACTAAAAACGCCTCGAACCCGTCTTCGCGCCCCTCGATGGAGAACTGCACGAACCCTCGCTCCAGAAACTTCTCAATCGGCGCGCACCGGAACATGACACTGCACAGACTCCGCAAGTGTCCCACGCCCGTCGTCCCGATCCCCAGCCCCTCGCGAAAGGCGCTCCGCGCGCCGTCGCAGGCGACGATGTACGACCCCTCGACGGTCACTTCCTCCCCTGATTCTCTGTTAACGGCAGTGACGCGTACGCCGTCTGCAGACTGGCTCCAGGACGTCATCTTCCACCCGAGCCTGAGATCCGCGCCTAGCTCGACGGCGCGTTTGCGGAGGATGGGTTCAAGTCTGTCTTGGGCGATCGCCGTGCCCATGATGGGAGCGTAGACTTTGCCTCCTTTCTGCTGCGGTGGGGGTCCACCGGGACCAGATCCAGGTTTTCCGGCCTCGCCCTTCGGACCAGCACCATTCTCCTTGTTGGCGTTATTGTTATTCCAGAGCTGCTCATCGGCCCACTCCCCCGCCAGACTCTTGACCTTCACCCGACGAGGTTTCCCACCCGGCGGACCGGACCCGACTCTCAGCTGATCGGGGGAGATCCCGACAGTCTGCAAGAGCTCCAGCGTGCGCGATGTGTACCCGATGGCGCGCGGATGCGGGGAGCTCGAGGTGTGGCGCTCGAAGAGGATGACGGGGACATCGCGGGCGGAGAGGAAGAGCGCGCTGGCGAGGCCGACTAGGCTGCCGCCTATGATTATCACGGGTGCTTGGTTTTGCGTCATCATTGTGTGTTCTGGTGTTGGTAGTTGGTTGGTTTGTTGTCAAGTATGGTTGATGTACCGGCTGGTGTAAGTCGATAACAAAAAGGAAAGTATCGGGACTCAAGGTAAGATTGGATGAAAAGCGTAGTGTGGTTCGCACGTCCATCCAAACTTTTGTACGAGATGCACGATGAGGTCTTTATACATTTGCAATCCACGTCCGGCGCCATTGTGACGGCGTCGACGGCGGTGGTTTGCAAGCTCCGCACTTGCCCGGCTCCGGTGGTCCTGGCGTGGCCGGAAACGCAGCCACCGCCCCACACCGGTCATCTCGGGTACGAACGCAGCGCTCGGTCCCGAGTGTCCCTCCTTAGTTCTCACCGTCCACGCAGATCCACTAGCAAATGTCCCGCTGGCTTACTCGACGGGCTTTCATATTCCGCGGTCACGGCATCCATATTTGCTGTGGAAACATCACAAACATCCCTTGTTAATCGAATTCATTGAATTGTGTGCTCATTGCATGCCTTGAAGCCTACCTAATTACGCCATAGATTACGTCCTACATCCCTCCCGTGTACACCCGGAAATGCACAAAAGTCCTGTTTACAAAATCATGCCTCCAACGGACCGATAGTGGTGATGTCGAGACCCTTGGCCAGGTCCGATTTCGAAGGCATCTTTCCGAGGGACATCAACTCTACCGACTGAACCATGGCGGGGTCCTTGCCCATGGAGGCCATGGCGACAACCGTCTCGCCATTTGTGTAGTACGCAACAAACGCCGACTCTTCCACATTGCCTTGGATCACGACATCGTCCCATCCGCCGACGGTGTTACCACAGTATCTCAGCTGTGAGCCCAATGCGGACCAAAAGACGGGGATGAAGTGCGGCGTCTTGACGGCTGAGTTGATGATGTTGTTTGCAACGGAGCGACCAGCGTTCTGGGCGACATTCCAGTGCTCAATGCGAGTGTACCGGCCGTCGCCTCCAGGACCGTGGTACGGGTATGTCGCAATATCGCCAATGGCGTACACGTCCTTGAGGCCAACAATCTCAAAGTTCTCGTTAGTCTTGATCGAGCCATCGTCCTCCAATCTGATGACCTTGTTCTCCCTCAGGAATTCAGTAGCGGGGGCGACACCAACACCGAGAATCACTAGATCAGCCTCGAGTTTGGTGCCATCCTTGAGGTATACCGCGCCGACATTGGCAGCGTCTGTGGCGGACGGCTCTGCCTTGTCGACGCCAGCATTCATATGAAACTTGACGCCGTTCTTTTCCAGGCTCTTCTGGATGCCAGCGCCAATCTTCTCGCCAAGAACCCTCTCCAGAGGGACCTTCTCCATGCCGATGACGGTAACTGTGTTCTCCTTGGCGGTGGCGTTGGCAACCTCCATACCGATGAAGGAGGATCCGACGATGACAATCTTCTTGCCCTTGTCGCCAATGGCCTTGACAATCTTTTGCGTGTCGTGGGCGGTTCTGAGTGTGAAGATGTTGCCCAAAACCTTGAACCCCTGGAGGGGCAGGTTTCTCGGCGTACCGCCGGTGGCCAGGATGAGCTTGGTATAGGGGATGCTGTCGCCCTTCTTGGTGGTGACCTTACGGTCAGAAAAGTCAACGTCTGTGACCTCGTCGGCGACCCAGTCGACAGAGCCACTCTTATACCAGGCCTCATCGCGCCATTGCAGGGCGTTGACGTCGGTCAGGAGAGCCTTGGACAGCTTTGTGCGATCAATGGGGAAGTAGCCTTCAGAGGAGATGATGGTCAAGGGACCGTCGTAGCCGCCGTTGCGCAGACCCTCAACAGCGCCGAGAGCACCAGAGCCTCCACCAACAATGACCACCTTTTCCTGGTCGGCACCACCGGCGGCATTGCACTTGAAGTTGGGCTTGCGGCGACCGCCCTTGATAGCGGCCTCTTCGCCAGAAATGTAGACTGCGCCGTCGCGCTCGGTGACCTTGAAGACGGGAAGGGCGTCGAGAGCAGGTGCGTCTTCGACATCACCAGTTTTGGCATTGAAGCAAGCTGCATGTGTGTCAGTGAAGTCCAATGGAGCCAACGTGGGAGAGAATAGGTACCTCCGTGCCAGGGACATGTCAAGCGACCAGAGGTGGTCAAGACTCCCTTTACGAGTGGTGCGCCAAAGTGGGTGCATTTGGGACCAACAGCCTGGATACTGCCGCCAGCGTTGAGGAGGAGAACCTTTGCGCCCTCGATTCCCTCGACTTCAACCTCCTGCTTGTCCCCCGGCTTGAGAGACAGCGAGGAGACGGACTTGAGCTTGTAGTCGGCCATGGCTCGTGCGCTATGCGAAAATGGGTTCTTTTGCGTCGTTTGTCGGAATAAGAAAGATACTCTTACTTGGTGGCGGAGAGGGAGGAGGAATTTGGTGGTTTGCATGAAGGATGGAGGGGGAGGGGAGCAACGAGTAGAAGGGTAGGCGAAAGAGAGGGGAAGACGTTACGGTCACCGTCGAGGGGTACTCCGACTCCGACTGACAGCTGCTGATGTAAAGCGCCGGGGCGGAGGGAGGGGGTCAGATAACAAAGCACACGGGGCCAAGACTACTTAGGTATTCCCAGATGTAGTGTGGGAGCTAAGTATCCTAATAGAGGAATGCTAGGCAGATGGCAACTGGAAGGTAAAAGCTTCCGGGGGTGACAGGTAGACAGAGATGTTGCGGTAAGTATGCTGTAACTGGGGTAAGGTGGGATGAGGCAAGACGTGATGGTAGGCGGTCTGCTGAGAGATGGGGAAAGTCGATGGGGATTCGCGTCTTCAGATTGGTGACAATACTCTGCAAGGTAAGGTTGACTCGTCTTTGACCGGGGTTGTGTTTATGGAGGGGTTCAAGAAGGCGGGCAGTGTTTTTGTGTTTGTAACGTCGGGCGATGGAGAGTGGTGAGGATTCAGAGCATCATCATTCATGCGCTGCGTTTTGAGGGAAGCTCTCAATGGCTGCAGATTTTTGTCAATGAGATGGTTAGAAAGACGCGAGAATGTAGGTAGGTACCTTACGCTGTACCTAGGGAGACGTGCAAGTACGAGGCAGAGATGGACGCAACTTCCTCCCCAAAATTGGACGATTCAATGATGACGCCATGACAGTGAGCTCGTTCCTCCACAGGGAAGGATCTCCCGGGATTAAGGTAGCGGCGGCAACCACCTTCCCCAAGACGATGCTGTTGCTTGTGCCATTCCTTCCCTCTACTGTGTATGCTTCCTTCCAGTGCAATTCCTCTGCTGTGGCAGGTGCTTGAGCTCACTCTTGATCGTCATTGCCCACTGCGGCCCCACCTCATCCCGTCATCCCTACCAGCTTGCAAATTCCTCTCATCTCACTGGCCAAAAGCTCAGAGCTTGGATCATAGTTGTCTAAATCAGGATTAGCATCAAACCCAACACACGGGTTCCATAATTGTCCCACCAAAATGCCCCACCATTCGGCCCACCGTCCGAAGACACCAATCGCCCAAGCTCTCGTCCTCAATGGAGCTCAACACCAACGATTTCTACCGGGTTGATCACCACCAAGTCAAGAAAGCAGACCATCGTGAATATGACATCTCAGTTTCTTTAAGGTACTGATACTTAAGTTCCCTTCATACAGTAGCCAGAAGACGGCCACAACAAAAACACGCCACTAGATATAGTCTAGATATAGTAGACTCCCAAACGCCTCATCAACCCCTAACGCCAATAAAGTATCATCGCAGCTCAATAATGGCTATGCCCAACCGTCGCAGCAGCACGACCCAAATCTCCCTGGAAACCTCCGGCCTCCAACGTGTCTCCCGCCTCAGAATCCACAGTCACTGGTGACTCCTCCATGATACCCCCAGCAAAAGCCCCTGTAAAGTCCATCATGCCTGCGCCCTCAAAGAAACTCACATCCTCCTCGAATTGCATCCCAAAAGGCAGCGTACTGTCCATTACCTCCACCACCGCAGCCGCAGCCGCTTGCTCTTCTCTCTTACGTGCAACCTTATCCACAGTTGCCATCGCCCGCCGGTGTAGCTCCTTGACTACCTCGTACAGCCTGCGAAAATCTTCGTTTGCAGAGAGACGCAGCATCATATCAAACAGCTGCATCGCTTGTTCCGCGAGCTCCTTGTCCGCTGGTATATTCGGGTTTTCTGGGAAAACAAACATGTTGGATAGGATAATGATGAGCCCCGAAAAGTGCGCGCACGCATTGGACCAGATGCTGCAGTCCGTCTTTGGCGACTCCACAAACAGATTCATGCAGTCCCGGCTGAGCTCCACGCACTTTGCCCACCCCGTTGGCAACGGCGAGTTCTGCCTGCTGTTTCCTTGCCCTATACCATCCAGGTCTTGTATCGTCGCCCGGCCGTACGAGCTAATTCTCTGCACCCAATCCGCGTCGTGTGAGTAGATGCCGTGGACCATGACCGTGATGACAAAATAGTTGTGGTAGAGAAGCGAAAGGTGCACCGTGGGAAGCGGCTCGGCGTACTCTAGCAGCGACGTGAGCTGGAACTCGGCCGGCACATTGCGGCGCCACGTCTCGAGCATCTCTTCCAGTCGCGTCACCCGCAGCTGCGCTTCCGACTTTGCCACCTTGCGCGACCTCGTGCTGTATAGGAGATCGTACACTTTCCCCGCGATGTGGCTGAGCTCGACCCTCGCCCGGAAGAAGTTGAACTTGCTGCCGTTCGACGCAGCCATGACGCCCGCCCCGTCGTCCGGGTCCAGCTCCGGCAGGGGCAGGTCGATATCCGCGTCCAGCTGGAACGAAGGCGTCTTGGACCGCAGACTGATGTCCTTGTCCATGCAGTAAGCAAGCCAAAAGACCCGCGACCTCTGCCGGGCGACCGCGGGCGAAAAGTACTGGAGGGACTCCTTGTCGTGGAGGTGCAGCCGGTGCGCAAGCCGGATAGCCGTCCCGATGAGGACCGAGGCCGGCTTGGGATCTTTTGTACCTTGGAAGAGAACGACCATGCCCACGAGGACTTGGATGCCTAGTAAATCCTCCTCACGCGTCACCAAGTCGGACACAACAGACTGCACGTTGCGCATGTGGTGCAGCACCTTCTGATCGTCCACCAGGGCATCCAGGTTGCCCGACTCCTTCAACGTGCACCGATACCCCAACGCCAGGGCAATGTTGATGGCTGCCCATGCAGCGGAGGAGTGATTCGAGGACGGCGAATACCAGTCGGAGAGCATGCGCATAAAGGTCGGCTGGTCAAAGAGCGGCATGATGGAGTTGTAGCGGTTGAAGAACTCGTCGATAACGGGCGTGACTTCCTCCAGCGGCGGTAACTTTGGCTTCTCCGGCTCGACCACCCACTCGCTCGGACTCTCGCTGCACGAAAAGGCGTTGATGAACTCGGTGCTGTCGGTTGAGTCGCCGGCACTGTCCAATGGCAACTCGATGGTGTCTGTAATCGGTGCGGATTGGACTGGTGCGGGTGCTGGTACCGATGCTGAGGCCGGAACTTGGCTGGAGAGGCGAATATTCGCATCCAGTGCGCGCTGCAGCTGTTCTTCTATCTTTGCCAACCGGCTCTCCAACTCTACCACTCTTTTTGGGCTATAAGAGGATCGTCAGTTAAAGTCTTGTGATTTGATAATTACAAACCGACGTACTCTTCCGCGGTGGTTTCTTTTGGCCGTTGCTGGCGTTCTTTCGTCGGTACCACTCTGCGGCGGACTGTGGTGGTGCGGCACTCGGACTTATACAGCAGACAATTTGAGCAGGCCGGCTTGAGCATATCGCACTTGATCTTCTTGAGGAAGCACAAGTCGCAGGCTGTGAGCGTGTTAGTCACGGTCTATTGGGAATGGTGGTATTTGTTACCCTTGCGGCGTTGTGATGAAGTCTCCATGGTGAAGGCGTCTGTGAGTTTACTGTGTTACCGTCTTAGGTCAACCAAGTGGAAACTCCAGACAATTCGAGATGGATGAGTTGGATATTTCAACCATTCGAGACGCTGAGTCGTGGTCCAAAGTCCCAATTAAGAGAGCGAGGCAGGGGTCTGCGCCTGTTTTGGTGGTGCGCAGCAGTAGCGCAAGGATTAAGTCGCTGGGCCAAGATTACAAATCCAGAGCTGACGGATGCGCCTAGTGGTCCCGTCAAGCCACAATCAGCTCGCATTCTTTTGGTCGTTTCATTGGGCGCTCGAATCTTTCTCGGACTCGACTTTATTAATTGTCGATCAGTTTTGGACCTTTAATTTTAGTGTCTCTTACTACAGGCGTGCTTTCTCAGCGTTTGACTACTGCGGTGGGATCGTCAAAGTTGAGCTCACCGTCTCTCAGTACGTACCGAATGGACTCACCGAGTCTCACCGAGGTGACAATGCCAGGTCACTTACACGACACTCGGTGAACAAGAAGATCACAAGTGTCAATCAAGACCATTTCGTGTATAACTTGAAGGTTCTAACAGCTAAATTCAATAATAAAAATGCAACAAAACTATGACCTCCATCTAAAAGCAAGTCTAAATCTAGCAACACCAAGGCAATGCACGACCAATGTCTACAGTCAATCAACGGAAACTACGCCTTGGAGGTCTCCCCATAAGGCAGAGTCTCGCCCGAATACTTGACGGCGCCATAATGCTCCAGCTTATCCCCATCAGCAATCAAATCCCCATACCAAGCCTGCATATCCTGCGCAAACCTCCCCACCGCGCCCTCATCGCTCGCGTCAAACGGCTCCTCGCCCCGCCCAACCTGATGAATCTGCGCCGCCGCCATCGTCAACCCCATCCCGAAATCCTTCTCAACCATCTCAACAGGCTGCACGGCGCCCTGCACCCTGCCCGAGATCAACTCCGACCCGAACCGGAACTCCTGCGCGCCGGGACGTCCCAGCCCGACCCCGTCGACAACCTCGAGCGCCTTCACCATCGCGCCGATCGTCCTCATCCCGCCGACAATGTACGCCTTGGTCTTGCGCGCCGCCGCGTCCTCGCCGAGCCCCTTGACAACCGTGTCCGCAAACTCGAGGAAGAAGCCCTCCCGCTTGCGCGTACTCTCCTTCTCCCAGCTCATCCCCAAAGCCTCGTACGTGCCCCCAGAAATCTCCAAAAAGTCAAACCCAAGCCCGGAGAGCAAGGCACTCATCTCCCTCGCCTCGTCAGTCGTCACCCCGCCCTCCTGGAACTCGACGCTGTTGATCTTGGCAGCTAGAATGAACCCCGGCGACGTCCGCTGTCTCACGGCCCTACCAATCTCGGCAATCAACCGGGTGCGGTTCTCGAGCGTCTGCGGGCCGTACTCGTCGGTGCGGCGGTTCGTCGTGCGCGAGAGGAACTGCGCGATGAGGTACCCGTGCGCGGCGTGCAGCTGAATGCCGTCGAAGCCTGCTTTCTCGAGGTAGGCTGCCGCGTGGGCGAAGCCTTCGATGAAGCGGGCAATGTCCTGTTTGGTGGCTTCACGGGGCTTTGCGAATTCCATGCCCATTTTGGGTTCTGTTCTTGCTGTTAGTACCAAGAGTGCATGATCGAGGGAACCCGAGCGACCACTTACCCAAGTGGACTGCGGACGCGGAGACGGGGTTCGGCTGAATCTTCTTCTGCACTTGGCGCCCGGGGTGGTTGACCTGTCCGACCATGAGGGTGCCGTCGGCCTTGCCTGCGGCGGCGATGGCCTTGAAGCCCTCGAAGCGGGCGTCGCCTTCTTCGGGGGCGCATTCGGGGGTGATGATCATGTCGCCGAGGGTGCTCACGTCCTCAAACTCGATTGTGATGTTGCCTGTGGAGATGATGCCAAAGTTGTCTGGCCCTTGGCCCCATCTAGGAATATTTGGTTAGCATCTAAGTGCTTCATGCGTGAAGGCAAGGGGTAGGTAACATACCGGCGGTAGACTTCGACGAGCTCGGGCGTGGGGATACCTCTCTTCGAAGGCTCTGTGGCGCTCCAGGTCGCGAGAGACTCGGCCATGGCGCTCTTGAGGAGGCGGTTCTTGGCCGTCTTGCCGGAGAAGGGGAAGGTCAGGGGCCGGGCCAGGGGTTCCGGGCTGGCGGGAGAGCTTTCGTAGCGGGCGGGCATGTTTGCGATGATGATAGAGTTGGCTGAAGGTTGAAAATGCTTGGTTAATAGTAAGAAATAAATGTAGAGATGCTATGATGATTGAGGAGATGATGCTGATGCTGATACTGTTTGAGAATTGGGAGCGTCTGGAAGCTCACTTATAAAGACATCTTGAGTTTCCACGGGGCCAAGCCGGGACGGCGCTATGGCCCCGAAATGATGCCCACGGAGTCGAGTGAATAGTCGATGGCGCAATATGGTAGTATCACGGCTGCTGCCGTGGCGGTGGTTGACCCGGAAAGTTAGCGTACGAGGCCCTCCACGGAGGAGACGTCCGTGGGGCACCGGGTTCCCCGGCAGATCTTGTAGTAGGCGCCGGGAGACTTCAACGACGTGGAATGATATGCAAACCTCACTGCCAGGTGTTTATACAAATTTGAATGGATTAACTCTTTGAATTCTTTCATTTTCCTGATTGTAAAAATGAGTTCCTTGTCTCCTTCGGAATTCGGTAACATTGCTCTATACAAACACTCTGGATTCACACTTACACTTCTACCTCCAAGTGCTCGCGTCCAAGTCAAAGCTCGACTCTGCCTACTAATCAATTATTCGGATATCACAATGCTATGGACTCAAAAGTCATCTGGGCAGAGCACTGCTTATTGCCGCGTGGTTGCGCCACGAGACCGAGACGATACCACAGTCAGGCGTGTAAGTGGTCCAACTCTCGGTGAGCCTCGGTCGGTCTCGGTGTGAGATCCGTGGAACTCCGTGGAGCTCTCCAGCCACCGTGGCGGCCACGGCGCTCCGTGGAGTTCCACGGAGAAAACGCCAAGGATATGGATTAATAATGCCCTCCTGTTCTCCTGTTCAGCGCAGATCGCTGACGGAGACAGTCGCACACGGACCAGCTTCGCCAGGATTGTGGAGCTTGTCAGCTTGAAGGATCAAACTTAACGGAAAGTCGTGAGTCTCTTTTTGTTGATTCACAATCACATCCCACGAGGCAATGCACAGCCGCCAGGATATGTATTTACGAACAACGGCAGTCTCACGATCAGCACTTGATCGAACTCAAAAGCAAGATGTAATCAGGAAATACTAATCAATGAAAACCAGTAAGGTAAGAATCTACTCATACATGCAATTCGCAGCTTCGCTTGCACCGCAAAACAGGCCTCTTACAACTCATCCTTGACCGCATCAGACGACTTCGTCTTCTCATCAGCCACCTTGGACTCCTCAGCATCAGCCTCGGCCTCTGACGCAATCTCTTTCATCTTGAGAACCTGAGCCTTGACGGTGAACTCAATGTCCCTCTTGTTATTGGCAGTGTCGGGACGGGTATGGCTGACGGGCCACGCCACGACGGCGGCATCCTTGGGTACGGCTTGGTAACTATTCAAGTCGGCGAGCGTCGCTGCGGTGATATTAGCCAGCTGCTCTCACCAATGCATTGGAAGAATTGGAAGGGAAGGAAAATGAATGTCAAACTCACCTTCACAGTCACTACCGTCGGCGACAAACAGAGGAAGAACAGGATACAACGCCCCCGGCGCAAAAATAGCAACCCTCCCTTCATCAAGCCCACGGTCGACCTCCTCAGCGTCACCAGGAACAACAACCCGCTCCGTGACCTTGTCCTCTTCCCCAGCAGGCTTCTCAAACACAGCAAACAATCCCTTGCCGGCGCCGTCAGCCCGCTCCTCCTCTTCAATCCACTCGCGCACGCGCAACGGAACATCAGCGTACTCCATCATGAGCACGTTGCGATCGTACATGTGGCGGTCGAGGCCGGCCCAGCCGCCGGGGTACTCGCGGCCCGAAAAAAAGGTCTTGAGCCCTTCACCCCAGGGGAAGAGGCCCGTCGGCGGCTTGTCAAAGAGGTCGTGGAGGGTGTACTGCGTCGCGGCAAAGGTCTTTGACGAGGAGCAGGTTGGGGTGTAGGCGTCTGTTGTTGCCGAGGTGAAGGGGTCGCGCCAGGGGAAGTTGTCTGCCATTGTGGTTTTTGCCTGGGGCATGGGCGGTTTGCCGATTTGGAAGGCCGAAGCGGCGGTCGCGAGGAGGGTGGCTGCGAGAGGGAGGGATGTGGACTTCATTGTGGTGTTTGTCTTACTAACTTTGGTGATTTGCTTTCTCGTGAGAATGTATCGTGACGAGCGATTGAGAATACGATGAGAGACTAACACAGGAACATGAACGAAATACAGAATGACTTTTCTTCACTCATCTCCCAATTGACTTTGCCCGGCCCTCCTCATATAAACAGGTTGCTTGTGGCCAGATTGGCAACTCCAACGACATTGTTGTCCTTTGCGGACGCAGCATGCTCCGGATTGCCATATTGAGTCGCGGGTTCCTGATGCCAATGTGGGATTCAATGCGGCCGAGCGACGAGTTCCTCCGTCTACTCCTCCATCCGCACCTTTACCCCAAGTTACGTGAGTTAAAGGTCCCAATTCGACCCCACTTTCCCCTCATTCCCGGCTCGACGGGAGCGGGTTGCGGACCTCATCCTTGTGCCGCCGTTGTGTCTTTATTTCTGCTGGTCGACTCACGTGTCAATTCATCTTACCTAAGGAAATAATGATCCTTGTCTCATTGTAGTCTTGCAATCTTGTTCCCAGCTGGCGCCATCTGGGCGTTCTCGTCACATCACGATGAGATGAGCTAGCCGATCTCCGAGTGGTGACGTCTGTCTTAGTTCAACGTTCACCCCACCTCAGTTCCATAGATCCTCTCATACGCGCTACGTTAGGCCCAAGAGCCAAGACTGGTGTTTCCTCTCATTCTTGAGTTACTGCAAGAGAGAACCTTGATGACCTTGAGTTCGAGATAAAGACACTCTTATTCCCATTCACTTCATCCTATACAAAGTGAAATTCATCTCATCCGCTCTCTAACCTTCCAGCCTCCTCCCACATGCGATGAACACACGAAATGCTCTTCAAATCAGAGATGAGCTTGGCACTCACTTGAAAGACTTACCTCACGCCAAAACTCGACCCCGCCTATATCCACCCAAATAGGAACCCAGACCTTCTTTCGACTCACTGCCGAGCTTACTCAAGCCTGACAAGCACTCTCACAACCTCACCTGACGTCGTCCATTCTCCTAACCGACCTCCCGTACCAAACTTCCCACTCTCATTCTTCATAAGTCCGGACGCGAAGCTGGCGAACCATGGAACACGGCGAGTCTCCAGTCGTGAGCAGGGGTGCAACGAGGGGGGGGCAACATCGAATTTTCCCCGAGCAATCGCAAATCTTGCAAATGCCGTCCCGTTTCCAACCCTCCACGGCCATCCTCTTTCGGATAAGCATGTCTTTTTTCAGCCTCGTGTCACCCTTGCCTGCTTCTTATTTCATCTTTCATATGAACCCACTCCAACGGTCCAGAAAGGCGTACCATGTGTGCATGCACATCCGCTTCGAGCCGAAACGCCTCTCTCATTGGCTCTAGGAAGTAAAGCTCCGCCGCTCCATGCCGTGTCTCTCTGGAGGTGTCGGGATCCATGACGTCGCGTCTCCGTCGAAAATGACGCCGCCGCGCCGTCATGAGCTTCAGTCTTTTGCCCGCCCAGTGTCGTATCGCGCTCATTCGGCTGGTTCGTTTGAGGCATCTGTCCCTGGTTGAGCCATTGGCTGCTTAGTTATGTGATAATCGCCTTGTCTTCGTGATTTTCTATAAGGATCAATGATTCCAACGACTTGACAAGTGACTACCAACGAATCTCGTAGACTCTTCTTGGCCTTCTTTCCAAACCCAAGAATCCATATCAGTAATCACACATAAAAATGGCTTCACAAGCAGCTTACGCAGCCGAAAAGGCCATTGGCCACCAAGACGACGCCATCACAGCCCAAGATGTGACCGAGTACAGCGGAAGCAAAGGCGACGACAGCGAGCTCATGAAGGCACTTGTCTGGCAAGGCAAGAACAAGGTCGAGGTTGGTGAGTGATGAATAGCCAGTGTTGCCCCCTTGCAATTACACGTCCTTACTTGCCGCCCAGTCACCGTACCAAAGCCAAAGATTCTCGAGGCCACCGATGTCATCCTCAAGGTCACCGGGAGCACGCTCTGCGGCAGCGACCTCCATCTCCTCCACGGCTCCGTCGTCCAGATGAACAAGGGCGACATCCTCGGCCACGAGTTCTGCGGTGTCGTCGACCAAGTCGGTTCCGCCGTCACCAAAGCACAGGTCGGCAAGCGCTACGTCGCCTCGTTCCAGATCGCGTGCGGAAGTGTAAGTTTCTTGTCCTTTTCGTAGACACTCATGAGTGTCAGCAAGAGTCTGACAAAATTCCAGTGCTTTTACTGCAAGCAAAAGCTCTCCTCCCAGTGCGAGCGGACAAACTCCAACACGATGGAGAAGTCCATGTACGGCTCCCAAACGGCCGGCATGTTCGGCTACTCCCACTTCACGGGCGGCTTCGCCGGCGGCCAGGCAGAGTACGTCCGCGTGCCCCTTGGCGACGTCAACCTCCTCGCCATCCCAGACAACGTCCCCGACGAAAAGGCACTCTACCTCTCCGACGTCCTCGCTACGTCCTACAATTGCGTCAAAGACACAGCCGTCTACCCCAACGACCAAGTCGCCATCTGGGGCGCGGGCCCCATCGGCCAAATGGCAGGCGCCTTTGCCCTCGACGAGGGCGCTTCCAAGGTCATCTTTGTCGACACGGAGCCGCGTCTCTCCTACATCAAGTCCAAGTGGCCCGCCGCGCACGCGGACAAGCTGGAGCTCATCGACTACAAGACGCTCTCGCACGGCGTGACGAACAAGGAGACGGTCGTCTCGCGGCTGAAGGAGCTCTGCGGCGGTCGCGGGCCGGACGCCGCGCTCGAGTGTGCGGCGGGTGAGTACCCCAAGGGCTGGCTGCACACGGTTGAGATCGCGCTCGGCGCGGAGACGGACACGAGCGAGATTGTCAACGAGATGATTGAGGGCGTGCGCAACTTTGGCAGGGCGGGTATCACGGGCGTGTATGTCGGGTACACGAACCACTTCAACATCGGATCGCTGATGGAGCGCGGGGTGCGGCTTATCGGAAATGGGCAGGCTCCTGTGCATCTGTACTGGGAGGATCTGCTGAAGAAGATCCAGGAGGGCAAGATTGATGTGTACCAGATGCTCTCGCATCGCATCCGTCTTGATGACTTGGACAAGGTCTATTACAAGTTTGACAAGCACGAGGACGGGATCCAGAAGATTTTTGTCGAGACGAAGTTCTCGTTCCCCAGGGCGGAGGGGTCCCCCGAGTTGACGACGTATTAGGCCAGAGGGTTGGCTAGAAGTATGAGCGACGTAGTTGTAATGAGATATGATGAACATTGACTTCCGGGCTAGTCTATTCAACTAGGTCATGCTGTGCGTGGTCTGGCCAGCTCTCACCATCCATGATACGTTGACGGCCCGTACATGATGGAGAATCCAGATGATTTGTACCTTGAACAAAAGCATCGAACAACAGGTTTGGACGGGACCAACGATCACAGCCCGAGCCTCTG